CACCACCCTATCACATGTCCTTTCTTACCTTCCTCCCCACCAGACGTAATCATCCTATTCAGAAGTGGCCACTGCCCTATACTTTGTATTTAATATTCTCTTGTATTTTTAAAACAGCTTTGTCACACAAGTACACATACTTAAAATGTATGTAGTTTAGTTTTGGGTGTCAAACAGACAAGCGTGTTTATCAGCCAGTTGAGGTTGCTCTTCTCCAGGACCCTTTTTGGGAATTGATCCACTTTTCCTTGTAGCTGCAATTGCTCAACACAAGCTGGAAGCTCTTTGTTTGAAATTTCCTGCAGAGGTAGTTTATCATCTGCTAAGAAAATCAGTGCCATTGCTTTATAGTCTGTTTGGTCTGATTTGACTTTTTTCCCCCTAATTTTCCCATTCATTCATTCATTCATTCCAGAAATACTTGGTAGATATAATCTATGAGCTAGTCAGTGTGTTGGAGACCAGAAAGGAAGCAAGGAATCATCCAGAGTCTCTGACTCCCTCAATAGTTTACCTAACCCTCCTGTCACTTAAGCTTCAACTGTAGGCTCTGGGTTGTGGAGCAGGATTCAGTGAATCCATAGGCGGGAGATAAGGAAGCCCAGGAGCTACCAGGGAGACTTACTGAGGGCCTTCCAGAAGTGCTCAGCCTTCTGAGGCAGCAACATGTCTTGGGGCTTTTATGATCTCTTTATGATCCTTGGTTATACCTGGCTCAGGTATTGTTAGGCTGCTTCATTTAGTCATCCAAACGTTTTGAGTGTTATGTCCATGTCTCCAAACCTGCTGAGGAGCGCCAGCCAGATGATAGCTCAAGGACTCCACAGCCAAGAGGGAAAGTGGCCTATAAAACATGAAGATCTGTAGTAATCCAGATTATGATTATTCTTAGAAGAACTTAAAAAGCCAGGCACTGTTGGCTCATGCCTGTAATCCTAGCTGCTCAGGAGGCTGAGATCTGAGGATCCCAGTTTAAAGCCAGTCCAGGCAGGAAAGCCCAAGAGACTCTTATCTCTAATTAACCACCAGAAAACCAGAAGTGGAACTGTGGCTCAAGTGGTAGAATGCTAGCCTTGAACTGAATTGCTCAGGGATAGCACCCAAGCCCAGAGTTCAAGCCCCACGACCAACAAAAATAAATAAATAAAAATCACAATACCCCAGTAAGCATGAGATTCATGACCCAGCTTCAACTATTTGGGTAACATAAATATGGGACTTCAGAAATGTAAACTTACTTTTAAATTTATAATAGTAAAGGTGGATGTATATTCATGTGTTTTTAACCAACCTCCACATGCATGCCCTAGTCATCAGAATACTGTTCTGTGACCCTGCTGTAAAATACAGTGACACTTGGGCTGGGAAGGTGGCTCAGTGGTAGAGCACTTGCCTTGCATGCATGAGGCCCTGGGTTGGATTCCTCAGCACCACATAAGCAAAAAGAAAAAAGCCGGAAGTGGCACTGTGGCTTAAGTGGTAGAGCGCTAGCCTTGAGCTGAAGAGCTGAGGGACAGTACCCAGGCCCAGAGTTCAGGCCCCATGACTGGACCCCCCCCCAAAAAGAAAGAAATACTGTGACACTGAGTTAACATTCTAAACCACCCTAGATGCCCTCTGTATTTACTTGTCCCCATGGGGTTGTGAGTTTTCTAAGAGTCTGCTATGTTTGTTACCAAATCTGCTTTTCCCAGTGGTGCTAGTTACTAAATTGCAAAGTTTAGTTAAATCTTTTCACATACTGATAAAATACAAATTCATTAACAACACTGTCATCAGTGACAACCCTAATTGATTGCTTTTGAAAGACTCAATAAAGAGAAGTCATTTAAAAAGGTACTTTTGAATTAGGTACCAACAAGGCAATTATAAAAGCATGAGAAAAAAAACCCAAATATTAAAAATCTAAAAGAATTCCACTCTCTGATTGTGTTCTGGGTATCTCCAACCTCTGGTTCCACTTTAAATGAACTGCATGTTATGTCAGAAATTGTACAAGGTACATCATAGTTTATTAAAGAAAGAACTCTAACCAGCAGACAATACTCAAAGAAAAGACTTAAAAGTATTAGTGAATGGGAAACACATTTATGTTTTCATTTTAATCAGATTGCAAGTAACTATCAATGGATGGATGGATGGATGGATGGAGAAGTATGATAATGATATCAGATTTTCATGTTCACCTCATAAAATGACTTTCTCAAAGCCTTCTGGCTGCCCCAGCACATGTAGGAAGAGAGCTTCTGTCTTAGTTTTCCTTATATACTTACCAGGAGCCACCCTGACACATAAAATATCCATCTGCACCATTGAAAACTTTCAGATGGGATACCACTTGCGAAGGCTTACTCAATTTTTTATTTTGTTTAGTATTATTCTCAATGGCTAAGCATGAGATCCCCGAGAGAAGACTCCACTTTAAAATCAATCACTTCAAAAGAGAGAAAAGACCATGTCAGACTGCAGGATGGATGATGGAGGTCGTGACCTCCCGGTGCTCTGCCTTCTCAGGCCATGTCAGAGCCTGAGCAGACTTTGCTTTGACTGCCCCATGGAGGTGGGCACCCTGCTGCCAAGGGTTTCTGAAAGGCAGAGGGGTGCAAGCAAGAAAGTGGGTGGGGTATGCCCAACTTCAGGCCAGCAGGAAGAGAGAGGACCAGATGAGAAAATAGCTTCTTTACCAGGCTTAGAATATATATATATATATATACACACACACACATATATATACACACACACACACATATATATATATATATATACACACACACACACACACACACATACATACATACCTATGTATATATATTTTCCTATTTTGCCCAAACAGATTCAGGGACCTGAGTGGTCTTTGAAGATATGAGGACAAATAATATTCTTAAATAAGGAGATATTTTGAATAGTATTCGAGCCACACACCCTGCTCTCCAGCACCTCCACCCACATGTGACACACCTTATGTTTGATCAGTGTGAGTGTGTGCCGAAGGCCTTAGATAAGGGTTCCTTCAATTGATCCAGACTAAGACAGCCTCTTCTTACACAATATATTTATTTACTTGAATACCTAAGGGGTAAGGCCAAACTTATGCCAACTAGGTTTATGTGAAAAGACTCCACAAGAACTAGAAAGCTTCAAGCCTGAAGCTTGAGAGAACCAGATGCAACAGAAGACATTGGAGGTGACAAGGGAGGCTTGCGGTTTCATTTCAGCATCCCAACCTTCCCTCCGCTAGCACAGTTTCATGGCTGGAGCTGTGTCCCTGTAAGGTTCAGGGCCTCTGCTGAGGTAAAGGATCCGGAGTAAGTGGAGAAGGGTGAGAGGGAATGGAGAGAGGGCTGACATGACACAGGAGCCCTGTGTGGCTACTCCAAGGAGTAACTGGACCCCTGTCCAGGAGGTCCCCAAACTCTCTAGAGAAAGAAAATTGCAGGAGCATGAGTCATCCCCTCATTGTAGAAGAATACAGGGGCACCCTGGAGGATTGGGGGCCTCCCTTATCACAAGGTAAGCAAATGAAGTACACAGACCACACGTAGCTGAAGGCTAGGATCAACTTCTGGTTTATTATCTGTTTAACTAAGTGGCTTCAATGAGAACTGCCTGGAATTGTACACTTAAGAGTTCCCTTACAAAATGCCGTTATCTCCTAAGCTGGCTGAATGGAGCAGCCTGGCAAGGGCTTATTAGAAGTAACTGAATACAGCATCTGCCAGAGTTGAGAATCAGAGAAGGCTGGGCAGCCAGCCTGGGGAACCTCACACCTTGTGTGGCCAAAGAGAAGGGCCTGGGGGTAACTGCCAACCACTGCCCCAGGGACAGGCCCAAGCCTCCCCAGGAGAAAAGGCTGCTCCTCTGCTCTCGATTTTAAAAGTTTGGTTTGCAGATGAACTCCGTGTTTTACTGATTCCTTTATACGTGTGATATTAACACACACAAAATACCACAGAATGGGGCTGGGAAGGTGGCTCAGTGGTAGAGCGCTTGCCTTGCATGCATGAGGCCCTGGGTTCGATTCCTCAGAACCACATAAGCAGAAAAAAAAGCCAGAAGTGGCACTGTGGCTCAAGTGGTAGAGTGCTAGCCTTGAGGTGAAGAGCTGAGGGATAGCGCTCAGGCCCAGAGTTCAGGCCCTACAACTGGAACCAAAAAAAAAAAAAAAAATACCGCAGAATGGCTTAGTTACTTTTGTATGGCTCTGTTTCTTCATCTGCGGAAACCCACCTACCATGTTGGCTTTCTGTAGACATTAAATATGCTAATATGCATTAATTTCTTAAAGTACTTCCTTACATGAGGTGAACATTCAGTAACTATAGAAGTTACTAGGGCTGGGATTGTGGCTCAGTGGTAGAGTGCTTGCCTAGCATGCATGAAGCCCTAGATTCAATTCCTCAGTACCACATAAACAGAAAAAAGCCTGAAGTGGCACTATGGCACTAGCCTTGAGCCAAAGAAGTTCAGAGAAAGTGCCCAGACCCTGAGTTCAAGCCCCATGACAGGCAAAAAGAAGGAGGAGGAGAAGGAGGAAGGTTAGTATTATTCCAGGAAAGAACTCATCCTATTTTATAACCTTTATCCACATAGCGCCTGCTACCCACTAATTACAACCTGAAATTGGCTTGAGAACCATGCACAAAGGACCCCTTGTGGGAGGCATCATATATAGAAAAGTTTAAGTGTACAAGGGACATTTTGAACCCTAAATCTGACCATCACAGCCCTTAAGGAGCTTGCTTTCTGTGCAATATCTGCAGTCTAGGATTAAAGCCAGTGGCTGTGACCCTGGGCAATTCCAAGTTCTACTTCTGCCTAGAAGCATTTACACTCAGCTGTGTTTCATTGCTTGGAGTGATTAAAAGAGCCCAGTTGGTGAACAGCCAGGGAAACACAGGGTTAAAGAAATTCCCAACTCTGTTACATTGAGCCCAAGCTGTCATGAGAAGACTTAATTTAAGGATTTGTTCAACTAAGAAAATATTTCTGGATTGTTTCAGGCTGTGATTCTGCAATTAACCTGACGTTTCCTAAATCCAAACTTGCTGTGGATGAACTCTTTGCCTCTCTTCAAGATATTGCTGGAGCTCGGAATCTCATGAAGCAGTTCAAGTCTGTGTATGTTCCTGGAACTCACACCCACCAGGCAAGTGCATGAGGTTTAAGGTAACGTTATGCATTTAGGATTCAGACTCCAGCTCCAAAGGAAGTTTCTGCTTAACATCGCTAGGATGGGCTTGGAGGGTTCATTCGAGATAGACTTCAAGTTCCCTTTGGGTTGAAAATTTGAGATTATACCAGCCTCTCAATTCAGCTTTTCCCTGGGACTGAGGCAGTTGTATGAGCACTGGTTTGGAGTCCCACTGCTTTGTAACTGTGTCTATCACAGATTTATTCTATAGCTTTGGGCAAAGTCCTTCACTTCCTGGGATCTAGTTACCAAATGAAGGACTGGCCCTGTATAATTCCTAAGTTTCCATATCTAAACAATCCATAATTTTTTGAACAATCAGAATAGCAAAATAATCTAATAATCCTATGGCAAAGAAAGAGAAGCTTGTGATAAGGGAAATATTTATCATTGAAGTTCTCTTGCACTAGCACTGAGGAGGCTGAGGCAGGAAGATCACAAGTTTGAGGCCAGGTTAAGTTACTTAGAAAGTTTGAGGTCAGCCTCGACTATATCGTGCAACCTTGTCTCAAAATATGTGTCTAATTCTCACTTGACACTATGTGGGATAAGAACCTTACAACTTGGGGAGAGAGTACTAGGGAAGGGGTCAGTGGGAGATAATGAGGGATTGGGTAGCAATGATTAAAAACAAATGTACTCATTACCTTACTTATGTAATGGTAACCCCCTTGCTCATCACCTTTTCAATTAAAAAATAATATATGTATAACTAATTAAAATAAAATAGAAGTCAGGCACTGCTGGAACACACCTGTAATCCTACCCACTCAGGAAGCAGAGATTGAGAGGATTCTGGTTCAAGACCAGCCCAGGAAAAAAAATGTTCATGAGATCTTCATCTCAGGCAATAATATGGGCATAGTAGCACATACTTGTCATCCAAACTATGGAAGGAAGGATTAACATAAGGATTAAATCCAGGCAAAAAAAGTGAAACCCTATTTCAAAAATAATCAGCCAGGTGCCTGTAATCCTAGTTACTCAGGAGGCTGAGATCTGAGGATTGCAGTTCAAAGCCAGCCCAGGCAGGAAAGTCTGTGAGACTTATCTCCAATAAACCACCAGAAAACCGGAAGTGCCACTGTGGCTCAAGTGGTAGGGCACTAGCCTTGAGGTGAAGAGCTGAGGGACAGCGCCTACAAAAATGACCTACAAAAATATTATTATCCTACAAAAAATGAAGAAGAAGAAGAAGAAAAAGGAGTAGAGCTGTGGAGCACCTGCCTAGCAAGTATGAAACCCCAACTCAAAACCTTAGTACCACCACCATTAATAATAATAATAATAATAATTAATAAAACAGAATTCCCCTGAAGCTTTCCACAGAGGGGAAGAGCACCAAACAAGAATGACTGACTTGACCATTGATAGAAAGATGATGTAGAACCCAATATTTATTCTGTAAAACTCACAGGGGAGAAGAATGCATAGAAAGTCCTAAGGGAAATGTAGAGAATGTGGAAGGTCCGGGACTGTGGATCCTGAGGACTCTATGCTGGACAAGATAGGGGACAGAACTAAGGTTCCTGATGGTCAAAGCTGAGCATCCAGGGAAGAGCAGATGTTTCTGAGAGGAAAAAGCTAGGCAAGAATAATCTACTCTATCGTCCCACGATATCCCTAGGGAAATTTACTTAGGTTTTTTTTTTTTTGGTGGGGGGCAGGGAGATGAGTTGAATGTACTTTCAGGGGAAACTAGAACATCATGAAGAGTACTGCTTTGAGGGCACTGACTTGTAAGATTTATGTGCAAACTCATCTTCCCACTACGGCCCCACAGAATCCCAGCGCTTCCTCTCGTATATTAGCAGCTGATACTTGAAAAGTACATCTACGCTTAGTCTTCATTGTTGTTTTTCTTGTCTTTAATTCCTACAATAAGTAAGACAGGTGTTGTTCTGAGGAAGGAAGGCCAAGTGATTTTTACATAGGCACAGAGTGACCAGGAGCAAGATCTGGTCTTTGCGGTCAACACAAAACCTGCTCTTCCACTGCACCATGGCTGTTGTAAAGGTTCTAGAAGTACAGATTGATAGTTCAGGCTTCTTCCCAGCGCCCTCTCTCTTGAGCTGATGCTCATATGCTAATGCTCCAATGTATTTTTTTCCCCTGATGGCACTAGAGGTGCCTCTTATCTAATTTTCATCTATCACTCCTTCAGGAAAGTGTGTTGGTCATACTTTAGATGTAGAGAGTGTTACTCTAAGGACCATGTGGTTTACTGTAGGAATTAATCAAATCTCTAGAAGAACCAGAGGAATGGGATATCCCAACATGAGTCCCATTACCAGGCCTGGTGCTCCAAGGGTGCTAGGACCCTGATTTCTGAGGAGAGGGGTGATAGACACAAGGAGACCAGCTAAAACTCTTGGCATGGCTTTTTTGCTCACAGCAAGTGCTCTACCACTTGAGCCACACGTTCAGATCTTTTCACTGGAGACAAGAGTCTCACTGATTTGTCAGCCCAAGCTGGCCTCAGATCTCAGCCTTATGAATAGTTAAGGAGTGAGCCACCAGTGCCCAGCTTCTCATATAATTAGTGAGATCTTCAAACTGGGCATCTCTCACAAATATGCTCTAATAACTTGGTGAGCTGACACCTTATAAAGCTCTTAGCAGCTGACAAATAACCAGCCTGTACATAATGAGAGTTTGTAGTCACAGCCATAGGAAAAGTGAAGAGCAGAGAAGCCTTTTGGTCCACCTTGAAGTATCCCATCTCTTTCTTTGTTGGAATATGGGCTACACAGAAGGAGAACTGACTTGACCTTAAAGTTCTCTTTTTTCTTTCTGATATAAAATCTATGGTAATTTTGTGGATCCCCAAAAGTTAATATGAGCTCAAGATACTAGTGTCCTGGGCCAAATAGATAAGCTAACTCCATGGTCCCACCCTACCCAACAATTCCCAGTTTGTCCAGGACAGGATCATAGATCAATATAAGTTTAGTGGTGACACATGCATGTGGGAAAAAGTTTTTGTGAGTTGCCAAGCACCCATTTCTTCTTGCATGTATCCCCATTGCGTAGGATGCTTGGGTTCCTTCCTCAAAGCCACAGTATTTGACACATTGCTGATCCTCAGCTGTAGCATCATTAGGACATTAGTGATGACTTGGGGCAGGGACTTTTTGACTCAAGGTTTTCTGGCTCTGCCCTGATGGACTTTAGCATGAGTCTGGAGCAGAGCTGCTGTGCTAAAAACTCTGCACAGAATGTGTGCTGTCTTTTGTGCCTCTGGCATGTGAACAAGACATGAAAACAGAAGTGCCCATGGAAGTTTGATTTGTCTTGTGCCAGGGAAATAGGGCTCTGAGCAGTCTTCAAGCAGAGTTTCATGTCAACTCTCCCCAGCCCTGAACACCAGCTGTTCATATCCTAGGCAAATTTCTGTCTCCTGGCCCCTCCCTGCCCCTCCCCCCCTTCCTACATACTGAGCCCTATAACTCTGAGACCTTTTTGAATCAATTAGTGTGGGACAGGATGAAACTCAGGGCCAAGAAATGACATTGTTTTGAAGTCTACTTCTACCTCATGTTTGAATGCAAGCAAATTCTTTCTGAGTGTGTTCTTTGATTTCCTCATATTGAAGTTGAAGGGACCACATATGAGTTTTGTAAAAGAAATAATATGAAGGATGGAGAGATGGATAGAAGGAAGAATGCATGGATGGATGAATAGATAAAACATTTTAAAATCTGAAAATAAGCCGTTTCCTTTAAGAAGATGAAAGGAGAAACTAATTGTAATCTGGCAAAAATAAAAATTAAAGAAAGCCAATGCACTGTCAAATAAATCCCTCAGCAGTTTAAGCAGATGTTTTTTCTGTGCAGTCTTGAACTGAGACATAATGAATACCCTTGACAAGTCTGGTTTTCCTAAGAAGTTGGTGTGTAGGGTCACTGTCTAAAAAGGGAGATCAAGCCTCTTCATGAGCGGGCTTGAGCGTCCCAGCTTCCCCCATTGCCAGCAAAGGCAATGTCAGCGACCCACGTGATGGGGTGGGTCTGTGGCAGCAATTTGGGCATCTTTGAAAAAGGTTATCTGAGGCCTTTTCTGAAATGCACCTGATGTCAGAAGTTAGATGACATTGTATAATCTTAGGAACTGCTGCATCAGAAGCCAGCTCGTATTAAAAAAATCTTCTGGGTACAATCACACCTTATCTCCAGCACAAAATTAATCTCTTACAAGCATTTCATTTTTCACATTTTGTTTAAATGGGATATTTTTAAGTCCAGATTGTTTTTGAAAATATGTACTTCATTTAAAGAAGGCAATAAAGAAAGTTTCTGATATAAGATAAGTTCTGTGAAACTCTGATCCTTTCAATGGTCATAGACATTAGGGTATCTTCTTAGACTCCATTTCCAGCCTCAGTGCACTATCAGAGATGGCCACTGGATGACCTTCATGGGTGCCAGGTGCCTTAGACTCTGTGAGCCTCTTTCTTTACAAAAATTAAGAATAGTAAAACACATATGGTATGATTATATTGATATAAAGGTAAATAGTTAAGCGGGCTCTGGTGGCATGCCTATAATCCTAGCTACTCAGGAGGCTGAGATCTGAGGATCTTGATTCAAAGTCAGACCGGGCAGGAAAGTCCATGAGACTCTTATCTCCAATAAACAACTAGAAAACCAGAAGTGGCACTGTGGTTCAAGTGGTAGAGTGCTCGCCTTGAGCTGAAGAGCGCATGGACAGTGCCGAGGCCCAGAGTTCAAGCCCCACGACCGACCAAAAAGAAAAAAAAGGTAAATAGCTAATATATTTTTGAAAATTAAGGCATTCTACTCAGAGTTGGTGGCTCACACCTGTTAGCCTAGTTAATCGGGTGGCTGAGATTTAAGGATCATGGCTGGAAACCAGCTCAGGTTAAGAAAAATAAAAACAAAAAAACAAAACTTTGCAAGACTTTATGTCCAATTAACCAATCAAAAAACAGAACAGATATGTGGCTCCAGTGATAGAGTACCAGCTGTCAGCAAGAAAGACAAGTAAGAGCACAAGGTTCTGAGTTCAAGCCTCACGACTAGCACATGCTCTCATGTGCACACATGCACACACACACATGCAAATAACAGTAATACTTTTATGGACTCTTAAAAGGCCCAAGGTACTGTGCAACCTATGCCTAACAGATAAACTGGCTCTGTGGTCCTGCCCCCACCTGACATTAGTCAGCTCAGGATAGGGCCATAATTTGCCCTTGGAAGAGTGTCAGGCACTTTTCTCCCTGCAACAGCCTTGGGACCACCCATGAAACACAAAGCCATCTACACAGTCATTAGGGAGGTATTTGATTGGGTTCTGAGGTGACAGTTCAGGACTGAGAGAATGAGGTTGCTATTAGGTGTATTCCTTGGTGTGAAAACTATATAGGAAATTTTCTCAGCCACAATTCCATGAGCACAACTTCCAGCATTCCATAGGGGCACACTCAATTATTATTCAAGAGTCACCAGCTGTATCTAACAAATATCTGGAGTTCCCCCAATACACTGCAATTTACCAAGCAGGGGTCATTTCTGTCATAAGCACTCTTGCCTGTGTAGTTTGACATTCCTTCTTTATCAGGTTTCCAGGGAAACAGGGCTAGAAAGTTAACCAAAAGCCAGTTTCCTATGCAAAGTGACAAAGTGGCTTAACAATCCTTTGCCCATACATACAGCTTACCAGTTTTTAAGGAAAGAGCCATATTAACATTTCAACTCCAATTAATGAGGATGCTATGTGTTCCCCAAATCCCATTTCCTTTTCTTCTGGGGCACACAGTGTGAGACCATATTTCCCAAATTGCCTTGCAGGCAAATGTCGACATAACTGATTTTGGCCAATGAACTATGGGTAGAAGTGATATATTTTCAAACAAGACCTATAACATCCCTCTGTAAATCCTTCTTACTCTCCTTCTACTGAAATAGAATCAGCATGAAAATCAGCATGGACTCTCAGTGCCCCAGGAGAATCATGGAACCCCTCCAAGGCAGGAACCTGGGTCTCTGAATGATGGTTCTCCAAACGGACATCCAACTTTGTCTCCTACCTGATCTGACAGAAGCAAGAATTAAGTGACTGTAAAGAAACAAAACAACAAATTTATCGAGTTTTTCTCTTCTCCTCACAAAAAAGTGAACTGGCAAAGAGTGTTCAGTTAGAAACATTTAGTTCCTATGGTTGACCCTCTTCTTTTATGTGTGTGTATTGGGGATTGAATGCAAGGCTTAAGTACTGTTCTTTATTTAGCTTTTTTTGCTCAAGGCTGGCACTCTACTACTTGAGCTGCAGCTCCACTTCTGATTATTTGCTGGTTAATTGGAGATAAGAGTCTCACAGACTTTACTGCCCAGGTTGGCTTTGAACTGCAGATCTCAACCTCCTGAGTGGCTAAGATTATAAGCATGAGCCACTGGTGCTCAACTTGACCCTTGTAAGGTTGAGGCAACCCAAATAACCCTCTGGCCCTTTTAAGCATGCGGATCACTTGGGGTAGGGCTCCAAAGAAATGCCTGTCACCTTCTACATGGCCCTTTGGTGAGCAGCAAGAAGTGCCTGACTAAGTGGAAAATGCTAAAACAGCTTGTTCCAATGACATGGTCTGGGCCCCAAACTACCAACTAAATTGCTTGGAGGAAGAAGCCAATGAGTCTCATCCTTAAAATCCTAATTGGGAAAAAATAAATACATGTATTTGCAAAGAAGACTCAAGACAAGCACTGAGAAAGTTTTTCTCAAGTTGTGCTTTTTAACCATATGATAGCTCCACATGGCTGTAACAAGAAAGGTAATTTAGTATATCCATGATTAAAATCCAGGGGGAAGTCAGCTGAAATTGCTGAGAGAGAAGCCATTGCAAGGTGATGCTTCAAGGGGGAATGAGATTCTGCCAGCTCCTGTATTTTATAGTCAGAGCCCAGCATCATACAAAGAGCTGAGTCTAGAAAGAAGACTTTGGAGTGAAGAGACAATAAATAGCTTGATAACTATCACATCTCTAGAAATGTGCTATTTCAAAGTTGCCATATGGGAAAGATCATCAGAAAGAATGCAACCACACCAAAAAAAAAGTAAGAAATAAGTAGAGGGCTATATTTGACCACTAATAAAAGTATTTCTGTCATTTTTCTGGATCATGTGATATGTTCGATACCCTTTACTTTCTGTATTTGAAATTGTAGTTTATTCCTTCATTCTAAGTAGATGTCCACACAGTAATCACAGTCTCTAGAAAGTATGAAGGAGCAGCAGTTCCAATGTGGCCCAACTCAGTGGGCTGTGCCTCTAGTGTGCTTTCCACAGATAAACCCAAAGAGGAGCAAGGGAGAACAAGCCAGCACCCTTCCCCCATCATTCCTCCATGTCTCCTTTCTGGCCTCTCCAGCCCATGCTAGGGCTCTGGAGCCTTGACGACAATCCTGCCGCCTAGGCACAAGTCTGGTAAAGATGAGCAGGGTACAATGCTGCAGCTTGAGTCCAGAGCCCCCTGGTCTATGTCTGAACTCTTTGCAGAATCCTGCCCTCCCTTCTACCCCAACTTCTTGAGTCTAAAGCTAGCCCTAATTAACTTTTTGGTGTGCTTTACCCCAATCTCTTTTCTATTCATTAATCATGTATTAAATTTAAATGATAATTGTTGCTATCTTTAGTGACACTCCACTTACTGTGGTTTATAAAACAAGAAGCAATACAAGGGGAAGTCTCCCTCTTGTCTTTGTTTCTTTACCTCAGCTGAGGTAGTTTCTACTTATTGCACCGGTTTAATTTTACAATGCATTTAATAAGTGTTGTTATATTCTCCCTGGCACTTTCTCCAATTTGAGGATCATGGTTTGAAACCAGCTTAGGTCATCCAGTGGACACCGTGGTTTTTACTTTACCCACCCAGAGCTTTCTCAGTCACTTTTCCAGCATTCCTCCCTACAAATAAGTATGCCTCACTTACTAAGTAGCTCCCTATGGAGAGGGTAAGCTTAAAAACTTTATGTCAAAACAATAGGGCCTTTTATGGTTCTTATTTGCGTATATGAGCATATCCAGAGAATAGATTTCTGGAAGAAGAATTTCTAGGTCAGATGCATTTGTCGCTTTGAAAGCTACTGCCAAATTATTCTCTGTGTTGATCATAACTATTCCCCTTCTGACAGTGCCTGGTACCCCCTGACTTCATCAAAATATGGCTTCAGAATTTTGGATGTTTGCCAATCTGATAAGTTTGTTTTTTATAAATCTATCTTGGTATAGGTTTAATTTGAATTTTTCTTCTTAAGAGAAAAGTATCAACCTTGCTCTACACCATGGCTTTAAACAAGTTCCTGTTATATCAGTGTTCCTATTCAATGCTTACCTTTTGTGATGGCTAATCATGAAATCTCCAGGCACACAATAGTGTGTGATAAACATCAAGAAGGTGGCACTTTCTGCTGAATACACACTACCTCTTCCTGTATCTTTTCCCTGAGGAATATACCAGCTACATTCCTGATGAATGGTCAGGAACAATGTTGATAGGCTATAGGTGCTTCATTTCTAAGGTATTTTAAGAGAAGTAGAATAATGGGGAAAATAAGTACAAAGTATCTATAAAGTAAGATAAGATGAAGCCAGGGAAACATTCAGCACACTAAATATCCATTCCTCTGGTTGCAGGCAAGTCACATGTTTGGCCAATGAAAAGACAGGCTGCATCTCAGCAGTGCCTTCTTAGAGTTTAAGAAAGAGGAGGGAAGAACCAAACCCAGAGGTCTTACCGAAGTCAGTGAAGCTTCTGGACAGAGTATTCAGGTCACAGAAAAGAAAAACACTCAACACTATTTTTCAAACTAGAGGAGTTGTAAACTAACCTCACTCTGATTCTACAGGAATTCTACGGAGCCCTGTGTCCTGCTCTTTGCCCTGACCTAGGTCAGAGTCCTCTTGTCATCTGGCCTTCTTTTTCTGGCCTAGTTGGACTTGGAGTTGAGCTCTATGGAGAAAGGAGGGATTGCTTTAAGCCTGGATGTTGACAATCCATTACAAATAAACATTTGTAATCCTCTCTGAGGAGAACATAACTCTAAGAATGTTTGGGAAACATTGGAGGTCATCTTCATGTTTATATCAAATGGCAGGACTTTGCTTGCCAGCATGTTCCATGCATAAATGATGATCTCTGGAAATCTTTTATTGCTTTAGCATAAATTGATTGTACAAAGAGATTCCATTGTGATGTTTACATATGCATGTAATATTCTTTGATTAAATTTACTCCCTTTTCATTACTCTTTCATCATCATCCCCCTTCCTCCTCTCTCCTTTCTGAGCATTGTTAGTGAGTTTTGTTATGCTATTTTCATATATATATATATATATATATATACATGTATATACATATATATGTATATACACATGTATATGCATATATATAAGTACACGTATATGCATATTGTGTATATACACACAAGATATAGTTCTATAATAGAATTATTAGTATACTGTGAGTATGACTCTGATAAGCAGTGCTTGCAGAATCAGTTATGAGAGGCAAAATAGTGCTAGAATATTGGGGATGGAAGTATCAAGATCAAGGTTGTTTTAGTATCTTTTCACACATACAAAATCACTGCTGTTTTCAGCATCTAACTAAACTTGCTTTGCTTCTTTTAGGGCAGATTAAACTGTCCTTTCTCCAGACATACCAAACAAGTGCCTCTAGCACTTAACCAGCACAATATTTTGTCTCTCCAGGCAACCTATAAGCCATTGTTGAAGCAGGTTGTGGAGGAAATATTTAATCCCGAGAGGCCAGATCCCATTGATATTGAACACATGTCTTCAGGCATCACTGATCTCCTTAAAACAGGATTTAGCATGTTCATGAAGGTAAGTAATCATGAAGAGGTAATCCTCAGTGTTCCAAAAGTCCCTTTTCTGGGTGTGAAAATTCTGGCACTCCACTGGCCCTGGCCAGTGCTGTACAGACAGTGGTTGGTATTTTCACTCTTCTATGACCAAGGCCATCTTTATTTACCTTTTGGTTATAAGCACTCTGATCTGAGCTTCTCTGATCTGAGCACTGTGCACTGGGTGGGATCATTTCTAGTCAATATGGAGTGCGTGTGTGTGGACACATTGCCCCTAAAGAGGCACCATGGAAAATCTCCTTGTGGCCCATGTTGTCCCTTACCATGAGTCTATAAACTAATTACCAGCCTTAGTGACAGTCTGCCAATCTTGATTTCTGTGTGTTGCACTACAGGGGTTTAAACTCAGGGCCTGGGTACTGTTCCTTAGCATTTTTTGCTCAAGGCGGGTGCTCTACAACTTAAGCCACAGTGATACTTCTGGTTATTTGCTGGTTAATTGGAAATTACTTGGTTAACTGGAGTCTTGTGGACTTCCTGATGAGGTCAGCTTTGAATCACAGTCATCAGATCTCAGCCTCCTATGTAGTTAAGATTACAGACATGAGCCACCGGTGAGTCCCATGACTAGCACCCCAAAACTCACTTGGAAATGACCTATCTTTTGGTCCAGTAAACTCATAGAGGAGAAACACCAGAATTTTCTGGCTTGTATCTAGAGTGGGTCAAAAAATGAGTAAACAGCCCTTGAAGTAGGGCTGAAAGGAAAAAGTACACAAGTGTGATCTATTTTTAACTCACTATAAAGTTTCTAAATTTAAAAGGTTCTAAACAAGATTACAGGCTGACCTCTCAAGGCTATGCCAAAATTTTAGTGGTAATAAGTCTTGGAAATAACGGAATGTTTTGCCAGCTTCAAAGAGCCTTTGAAATCGTGAATTAATCTACATAGAAGATCTGGCCTTTCAAAGTTCAATAAATGCATATTCCAGGAAAACTGGTCCACTCCAAAAGCCAGAGGATAGATACCAGACAGGCAGACTGGAAACTGAGTAATAAACTGGCTTGAATGGCCACGCCAGTCTCTCTGTTCTGCTGTGCTCAATTACCAACCATTTCTGATGCAATGCCTGGCGGGTATGTGTTTCTCTATTTCTCTCTCTCTCTCTCTCTCCCTCTCTCTCTCTCTCTGTCTGTCTCTCTTTCCCTCCTTTCCTCCCTCCCTCCCCCCCTCCTCTCTCTTTCTCCTCTTAATAAGCAATGCAGACTTCTGTACAGAGTATAAATAAGCCCCAGAGTTGGTGAGTGGCTCCCTGTCCTGAGTAGGTATTTGGTTTGTACAGAGACTTCCAGGCTAAACATGGTTTCCATCCCTCTCCATTTGAGCACTGTCTTCCTTCACTCATGAACTTAGACTTCTAGAAGTGACTATGGATTATATTATGATACATAGTCATGTCTTTGGCAAACTAATCACATGCATCTGTTGCTGTTCCATGAAACAATAATCCTCACAAGTTGAAATCACTCCTTTAAACTCTGCAGTTTTCTCCAGCTCTGCCTGTGATCAGAAGCTCCACTGTCCCAAGTATGCATTGTTTAGGAAGTTTGGGACCATCCTGAGCCAGCACTGGCAAACTGAATGATTTTTCCCATTCAAAGCTGATCATTAGGGCTTCTCTAGAAATGCCCCCACAGCCAAGGCCAATCTCAAAGAAAAATTGCCAAGGAGTGCATTAAGAGGAAGGAATTTGTCTCCTGGCAGCTGCCAGCATCCAGTGCTTGGTCCACAGCTTCAGAAATCCTGCACCTGTCCACAGAGATGCAGGGAATCTCCTTTGGCCCAGGCACAAAGCCCATCCCTCCTCACTACTCCAAGGGAGAGTCATTTTGCTTAATATCTAAATGCATCTTGGGAGCTGAGATTTCCTGCCATTCCCAGAACTCATCAAAGAAACGTTTCTCTAGCCTATGTGCTCAAGATTTGAGCAAATTTAGAATAAACTTAAGGATGACTAGCTATGAAGAACTAAATTCCCAAAGAGCTACTTCTTTGAAATGGATGTGCTTCTAGAGGCTTCCATTCTGCTCTAAGGTCCTTGGAGAAAGGGGGGAGTAAGATGTGGATAGAGTCTAACATGGTCATAGCCATGGACCAAGTTTCCTTATCCTGTGTTTCATTGCTTCTCACCTACCCAAAGTTATAATGAAATCTGTGGTTTTGATTTTCTAGGGCCAGTGAGAAAGTTTCCCTTCTCGTGTAAAGAAGAGGTTGTTTGACAAACTAAGGAGGTAGCTCCATCATTACCCTAGTGAGGAAACTGAGGCCTAGAATGGTTCATCAGTGGATGTGAATTTCCAGAAGGCTAGAATTGCTTCTCATTTCTATTTTGAGGTTTCTCCCAAAGAACACACTGGAAAGGATGACTCCAGGACTTGTCTCCCAAGCCACTCATTTCAAAGCCCAGGCTCTTAATCACAACATATCTTGGCCCTGGGATGCTGCCGGGCATTTCCTTGGAAGTTAAATGTTAATAAGTTATTAACTTTGGTTTTCTTCAGGATTCCGCAGTGGCATAAATACTGCCCCATTGGTACTTGCCGCACATGAATACTCTGCCTGGGCTGGTCTTGGCGGCAGCCAGGCGAGCGGGATCTCTTGGGGCTGAGGCCGTTTGCTGTCACTCTACCTGCTTTTGTGGGACTTGGGCCATGCACTGTGGGAGAATGGGCCAATGCATTACATTTTGAGGTTCATCTTTATTCTGTATCAGTAGGTGACAGGTATCCTTTGTCTTTCTTGTCACTTGCTGCCCTCCACTGTGCCTCTGGCATCTACTCCACTCCAGGAAGAAACACAGAGGGGAGCCCAATAAAGCCTTCCATGTGGAATCCTGCCTGTGCTGTGGGTACTGCTGTACAAATTCTAGAAATGAAATTCAGCTAGAAGGAAGCTGAATTGCTGCTCTGTCCTTGTTCTTTGTCTGCTCAGAGATGATATTGACTCGGGATGACCCAGGGGCAGCATCGATAGACTGTGAAGGAAAGGGTGGATCGGGAAGCCAGAGAGAGATGAACTCGGAAGTAGAGCCTGCAGTTTAGATCTTACTCTTTTCTGAATCCTCACCACTCAGCACCTGTGTACAGCAGACCCTCACTAAAGGTGGAAGGGTATCACAGTGGACCTATTATAGTGCTCATTCAGAAAAGTATACAGCTTTAAGCCATTAGTTGCTCTTTCCAACTCCAGTAGTCCTTCCCTCACCATAGGGATACATTGCAAAACCTTTGGTAGCTGCATGAAACCACAGACAATATCGGCCCCTTTAAACCCTGTGCTTTTTCCTGCAAACACATGCGCACGCACATGCATGCACGTGTGCACACACACATAGACAAATTTAGTGGTCATAACTTTTGAACTTTATGTGTGACAGAAAAACAAGCACTGATTTCTTTTCCTTCTTCACAATTTCTCAGGTAGAAGATTTGATCTTTGCAACTTCAACACACAAAGTTGGTTTTCTTTCCTTATTGAGTCAAGAACTTATATCTGTTCAGCTAAGGGAAGCACTTTACAGCTTCTCTTCGACCTGTGTTACCAGCATTGTTAGCCTTGTGCTTTGGGACCCACAGTGAATTAAGAGTTGTTTGAACATTAGCAGTGCCAGGTGACCAGGGGAGTAGCATCCACAGAGCAGAAACACTGGACAAAGGGATGATTCAGAAATGGAATCGGGCAGGACAACACATAGTGTGCAATTTAAAATTTAAGTTTATTCCTGGCATCTTGCATTTCATATTTTCAGACTGTAATTGACTGTAGGTAACTGAAATCCTGGAAAGCAGAGTCAGCAAAAACTTCTACATGACTTTTAATCCTGTAGCTACATTTCAATGACTTCCTAAGCTATAGGAGGAGCATCCCCAACGTCAACTCCCGTGTCCCTCAGTGGAGACCCTGGCCCTCCTTTCCAGCCACTACTAAGCAAGGCAGAGCTGATCACGGGTCCAGCAGCAGCACATCCTGCTCCCAGCTCACCCACTGTGCAGTGACTACCTCTGTCCCTGCTTGTCTTCTTTCCACAACAGAAGCCCAGAAACTACTTTCTTCCAACTTTTTGTTTCCCTGGAGAACAGAACAGAGACAAAGGGACTTGTTTTATAGAGTGAGAAATTGAATGAGTTAATAGGAAAAATGCTCCAACAGCGTGGTCAGATGAAGGGATGAATGATACCAAGAATGTGGTGAGAGTTTATTTTCTATTTAACATCTATATTTTTAATTGATTCCATATATAATAGATGTTGATTTCACCTATGTATTCCTTACTTGCTATCTGTTACTCACTCATGCCACTGTCAGTTTACAAGGGAGGCAGTAGGGAATAGCTTAACATGCCTGGAGTCAGAGCACTAGAATCCATGCCTCACTTGTGCCTAAGTTTCCTCTTCTATAGAATTGGGTGGAGTAGCTCCAGCGTGGTAGAGCTGTTGTGAGAGTTAAATGAGGGACTATATACACAGCACTCAGAGCACTGTCTGGTTGTGGACATACTTGCTATTTATTTATTTATTTATATGCTCTAGAACTCGGATTTGAACTTAGGACCTGAGCTCTATCCTTTAGCTTTTCTCCAGTCTAGAACTCTATCACTTGAACCACACCTCCAGGTCTGACTTTTTTGGTAGCTAATTGGTGATAAGAATCTCACAGACTCTCATACTGACTTGGAAGCTCCATCTGAGTAGCTAGGATTACAGACATGGGCTATTGGTGCCCAGCTTACCTTCTCTTATTTTTACAAGTTTATGATTCCTTTCAGACTGTGACTAATAAGAAAAAAGCCACCTTGAGCATCTCTATATCACTGGACACAGCCAGTGCTCAGATAGTTGGTGCATACAACCTAATTTTGTGGTGAAGATGAAGATTAAATAGAAGGCGGTGGTCCTGCCACCTGCAAAGATGTCATTGCAAATTCTCCTCGCATTTGCTCTTGCTAGGAAGATGTAAAG